GACTCACGATTCAGATAGGGACATTTCGGTCGTAGCTTAGTTTCACATTATATCGACCGGCACCACTTATTTTGANAACATAAACAATAAGATTTCGGTCGTGCCGTGAATTTACATTACATCCACCATTATTATTTTTTTGATAAACCGAAACAATTTAAAGAGATGACTTCTTAAAAAAGTTTCACAAAACATTCAACTGAAAATGAATTCTGGCGGAGATTCATAATATCTGGAAAATACAAATATCACCGAGCAAATTTTGCAGTTTATGCGTTCAAGGAGGCTGGGCTATAAGGCATCCCCAAGCTTATCCGTGCCTTCGGCTGAGACTCACGATTCAGATAGGGACATTTCGGTCGTAGCTTAGTTTCACATTATATCGACCGGCACCACTTATTTTGAGCTGATTGTCAGGTAATCCGGAGAGAACTTTTGGAAAAAAATCGTGTAGAATCCCCAATTAAAAGCATTTTGATCGTACAACTGTATGTAATATTCCTAGTGAATTTATTCTTTGTAGGAGGAGAAACTTTTCGAATCGCTCGCTTATTGAGGTAATCGTTTCATGTGTGTGACTTACTCAGACTCTCTGACTTTTTCGCGAACGATGCCAACACCCGCACTCAACTATCTCTCTGCATCTCTCTTTTCAACAGTGACGTAGTGACCATTCATTCTACACATACTTTTTAAGTTCTTCCAAATTATGGTGTGGATTTCCGAAGTTGGGAGTAGTGATCTTATTTTCCCGGATCCATAGGTTCCGAGATAATGATATGTAGCAGGTGAATGGCGTAAAGTCAACCTGAACTAGTCACTCACAATTTGAATTGTTCTCTCATTGTATGATGGTTGAAACCTCTGGTCAGACTTACAATTAGGAACAAGATCAGCCGTATAATTTCTTTCAGATGCACCCACCACCCGCATTTGTTTGTTTTTATTTCATTGTCAGTTGATAGTTGACTATAAAACTAAAAAACCAACAATTTGATGCAACTAATTTTGCACATATTTTCAGGCAATGGACGATGGGAAGATAGTGTTGATTGGAAATGAAACGGATATCTTACATTGTGGTTATAGCCATGCGTTACGAGATGGTGATAAAAGGTGATCGCTAAATATACTCTTCATTTTACTATTAATTTTTTGGAATACGCGAATTTCTCATTCCAGTGATTATCTTCAAAAAATATCCCGTAATTTTGAAATGTTGCAGGTATCCATCAGCAGATCACTACGCACATGCTATGATCTTAACGCAGTTGAGTCTTGATGAATCACTCATATTGGAGCTGCTTTGTACATCAAGTGCTGATGTTCCTATCAAGGTTCTTTGACAATATCATTCGTTCACCACATTCCAGTGAAGTTCCGTGGAAATTTCGCTCCATTCTTTAATATGTATATATGTATCGTGTTTTTGGTGGAAATTTCGAATGGAACTGCTATCTGGGATTTTGTTGAGGTGTTCTGGAGATAATGGATAAACATATATGTAGATATTTTATTGGGGAAGCCAGTTTACGAAGTTTCAAATTGTGATTGAAATAACACTGACGAATTTCAGGCTCGGCAGTTGCTGAAGGAGAATATGCCGGCGGGGCATGATATGAACTCGTTAGCTGCTTATCTTCAAACAAGCCGGCAGTCTTACACAATGCAAGGATTGCGGTTGCGTGTCGAGCAAGATGCAGGTAAACGAGATCCAATCAGCTTCATTCATTTATTCGATCTCTTGCCAAAAGTTTGAACGAACTCACTGTTAAGAACTTTTGATGTAAAAATTTCGGCAATGTTTAAATGTCGTATAAAATTGTTTATAAATGTATTCTATTCGCTTGCAAGCCTGTACCTAGTTCAAAGCTGTAAGAGATTCACAGATTATCGAAATTTTGGAGTGATGATCAAATAT